GGACATCAAGATGCAAATTTGATGTAAGTTAGCCATCAATATGGAGTCTGTTCAAGGTGGCTAGTGGTTCTATATTGGTGGCATAGGCTATGATCACTTTCACTTCCAGCAAGAGGGTAAGCTTTAATAGATCTGCTTGTTCATTCAAGCATAAAACAACCAATTGAAGCAGTCAGTTTATTAAAATATTCCTGCACCGGGGATAGGAACCACTACCCTGATCTTTCAGCAGCTGTATTTCTAAAATGTACTTGTCATTTGAATATAGAATTGGTCATTGTCAGCTAATATACATTGCCATACCATACTACAACAGCAAACTGTTCTTTTTTTCTGGTCAGAATGCAATGATAAATGGCTAGCCTAGCTGTTTTGACATAATTATGTGCTTCCATAGCTCTATTCTGATACAATAGCCTGATGTGTCTGGATCTGCAGTCAGGTACAATAATGACTCAACTGTCTCTGTTCTGGTGCGATCATCAGATGAAAAGTTAGCCTGTCTCTGTTCTGGTGCAATCATCAGATGAAAAAGTTAGCCTGTCTCTGTTCTGGTGCGATCATCAGATGAAAAAGTTAGCCTGTCTCTGTTCTGGTGCGATCATCAGATGAAAAAGTTAGCCAGTCTCTGTTCTGGTGCGATCATCAGATGTGAAAGCTAGCCTGTCTCTGTTCTGGTGCGATCATCAGATGTGAAAGTTAGCCTGTCTCTGTTCTGGTGCGATCATCAGATGTGAAAGCTAGCCTGTCTCTGTTCTGGTGCGATCATCAGATGAAAAAGTTAGCCTGTCTCTGTTCTGGTGCGATCATCAGATGTAAAAGCTAGCCTGTCTCTGTTCTGGTGCGATCATCAGATGAAAAAGTTAGCCTGTCTCTGTTCTGGTGCGATCATCAGATGTGAAAGCTAGCCTGTCTCTGTTCTGGTGCGATCATCAGATGTGAAAGCTAGCCTGTCTCTGTTCTGGTGCGATCATCAGATGTAAAAGCTAGCCTGTCTCTGTTCTGGTGCGATCATCAGATGAAAAAGTTAGCCAGTCTCTGTTCTGGTGCGATCATCAGATGTGAAAGCTAGCCTGTCTCTGTTCTGGTGCGATCATCAGATGAAAAAGTTAGCCAGTCTTTGTTGTGGTGCAATACGCAGATATGAAATCTGGCTTGTCTCTGTTGTGGTGCACAGGCAGATGTGAAAGCTAGCCTGTCTCTGTTCTGGTGCAATAGGCAGATGAGAAAGCTAGCCTTTCTCTGTTGTGGCACATAAGACAGATGTGAAAGCAAGCCTTGATCTGTTGTGGTGCAACAGGCAGATGTGAAAGCTAGCCATGCTCTTTTGTGGTACATAAGGCAGATGTGAAAGCTAGCCTTGCTCTGCTGTGATGTAAAAGGCAGATGTGAAAGCCATCCTTACCCTGTTGTGGTGCAAAAGGCAGATGTGAAAGCTAGCCTTGCTCAGCTTTGGTGCAAAATGCAGATGTGAAAGCCATCCTTTCCCTGTTGTGGTGCAAAAGGCAGATGTGAAAGCTAGCCTTGCTCTGCTGTGGTGCAAAATGCAGATGTGAAAGCCGGCTTGTCTCTGTTGTGGTGCAAAAGGAGTTATCCATACAATGTGAATATTTAGTATTATCTTACTGAGCATATCATTTGGCATTTGGTCTTTATTGCAAAATTTTTATCAATATTTGGTTATCAAATACTGCCTTCCTACAAAACCTGCTGAAAAAAATGCTAGTATGTTTTTTGTGAAATGACTAATCCACTACTTAAATATGAATGTGTTGATGTCAGTAATTATTATCTGACTGTATCTTTATCCAAACAGGAGAAAAAATACATAAATTAAAGCATGTTTTGCAGTATTAACAGTACAGAATTTGATAATAGATATATCTAAAGCTTACTTGGGAGAGGGTGTATCAAGTTTTAGTCACCAGTATCAAATCACACAGGTGTGAAATCTTTCATATTGTCAAGGGGGTCATTTTTCATCCTCAGTTAACTTTACAAGACATCAAAAGGTGTAAGAGATTTCTGCTTGTCACCCCTTTCTATGATGTCATCCACTAGTCAGTATAGTCTTCCCTTTGATATAAACCTTACTTATTGTTCCCCGGTGGGTGAAGAATACATTATTTTCTTATTGCCAAGACGAAAAATCTTTCAACAAATCTTTTCAGTCTAAAATGTTTAAACCTAAACCTTCCCTTGACATTTTCCCATTAAACTGAATGCATTGTATTACAAATAAATGCAATAAGTATAATGTCTTAAACTTTAATTAATCATTCTTTTTTATCCATTTTGTTTCAGGATTTTTATGCAGATTAGCTGAAGGGGCAAAGTGAAACCCAGCACGAACATTTATCAACTAACTAACACAAAAGGTGGGTATCGTCATAGAGACAACACCCGTTCACAAATATTTCAACATCTGCACAAAAATCTTAAGACTAGAACATATTTATCAGGCTGACCTACTCAAAGTAAAATAGCTTGTATTTAAACAAAACAGTTAGGGAAATAGATTTTACTCCCTTTGTTTAATGAGGCCACACCAATTCTAGGCTGATTTTTTATGTTGTAAAATAAGGTATGATTTTTATTGAAAATATGTGCAGTTTGGGGTAAAATGTTAAAAATAAATATCATTTTCTTTCTTCAAAATTACATTTTCCATAGTATATTCTCCTGTTCCATTATCTTCATATCTCTCCGCCTTTATTTCCTGCCTTTCCACTCTGATCATTCAACCCTTTAAATTTGACACCTTCTAAGTCCCTGCATCTCTGTTGCCTCAGTACACACTCCCTGCCTTTTACCTTTCCACCTCTGATCCTCAAACCTTAATCTTATCACCTCTTTTCTTCAATCTCTCTTATCACTTTTTTTCTTCAATCTCTCTTTCTCTTCAATCTCTCTTTCTCACCTGTTATCCCCCTTTTACCTTTCTATCTCTATTGCCTCCACCTCTAATCCCTTCCACTTTCTGTGGCTACAACTTGACTGTTTCCCCATTTTATCTTTTTTTTTTTTTTTTTTTTTTGGCATCCCTTTCTCATGTATGCTCTTCTCTCTTTTGTCTGTTATTTCCACTTACCTCACTATCTCTGTTGCCTCAAACATTAACTCACCCTTATCTATACTATATTTTAATTCATTACCTCTCAATCTTTCTGTGCCCCTCCTAATCTACCATTCACCTCTCTCATTTGTAATTCTTTAGCCCCTTTGTTCCTTTCTACCTGTAATCAATCTCTTTTCCTTTTCTCTTTCTCATCTCCTCTAAACTTACCCCTCATACCTTTTACCTTTCTCACTCCCTTCTTTATCTATCCTAATAATACATTTCCCTTAATCTCTCCTTAACTTACCCCTTATTCCCCATCCCTTCACCTCTCCCTTTTCTTATCTTTTCTAAACATATTCATTCCCTTCCCTCTGCCTTCCTCATCACCTCTCCCAAACTTACCCTCATATCTTTGGTTTCCTGCTTCCTTCCTCCTCCTTCCTCAACTTACCCTCATATCCCTTTTGTTACTTTCCTCATCATTCTTAAACTTAAAACCCCTTGCCTGACCTTAAACTTCTAGCTTTCCATCCCCTCCCTTCCTTACCTCTCATATCCCCCTCTCATCTCTCATATCCACCTCTCATCTGTCTTACCCCCCTCTCATCTGTCATATCACCCTCTCATCTGTCATCATTTATCAGAACAAAATTAGAACAAAATTTTTTACATAACGAAGGCTGCTGGTATAAGAAGGAATGAAAGTAAGTAAGAATTCAAAATCAATTTCCATAATGCTAAAAACTTATATGAATATTCATTTTTTTTATCTACAAGCTACATAGCAAGTTAATTAACATGGTTGAAAAACAAATTTCAATTTAATAACAGTCCTGGAGACATTAATGTCAGTAAATATTAAATTCTTCGGTATGGACAAACTTCAATAAGTCATTTCTAGATGATAAATCATCCAACATTAGCTAATATTACTATTTACTTTTCTCGGAGACTATAGATAAATGATTGCTTTTCAATTTAGAGAGTATTTAAAGCTGAATGAAGACATTACATGGGTGGGGTATTCAACATGACTACATGATAAATCTAATGTTTTCACTGCTTTGTCGCCTTATCATGTAAAATAAACAGTACAAGGAAAGCATTTTGACTTTTACACTCATTCCGATAATTTAAAAGATTTTCATTTGTGAAAGGAATTTGATAAAAGCAAATTCCTGTTCAGCTGTGTCAAAATTGACAATGTTGGTATGATGATGATGCATTTGGTCTCAAAAGCCACTTTTGAAATACTGGAATTTACCCATTAAAAATTGAAGGGTTTTGTTTTATTTGTTCATATTTTCATGTTTATTTTGGTGTTGCATAATTGTCAGTTGACAGTCGCAGAATGGTTATGATATTTACCGTGTTTATTTAACGTGCTTGTTTTCCTAATGCTAATTACATTTTTACATTTAGCAAGCTACTTATAACAGACAAACAATGTCAATGGAAGCTTTCATTAATAGTGACATAACTACTTAAATATAATTATAAAACTTCAAAATGTAAGATTTGAGTAATTAAACAATAACCGAGGTTATTTCAAACCATTAAAATCCTTGCTGGCAGGGACCTACCACAGTTCCCTTCAGTAGTTAAAAGAAAATGAAAAGGCAATTAACATGACACATCGCTTGGCATACTGTCACCGATTTAAAAATACTTTCATAACTAAAAACACTACAAGTGTCCTGGACATTGGGGATTGTTCCGGAATTCAGGTGATTGTCACACCGACATCCTGGTGAAGATCCTGGATCAGACCCAGCTGAATATTTCAGGGGTAAAAGTTCTTTATAATAAACTAAAGAAAACGGAATTAACCTTATATATGCTCCTGGTTAAGACCATCAGGTCTATTCCAGAATATAGCAGATTTTTGTCCCAAAAAAAAGAAATATCGTTATTTACAACTTATTCATATAAGACTTACTTGAAATAATAGAGGTAACCTGCAGCTGCCAGACTAAACACCAAAACCTGAAAGTAGAAAATAAAGTAGACTAATAACATTGAAACAAGAGATGTATTTTGTGTACCCTACCTTTATTTGTCTAAGAGAGCACATATATATTGTTTATGCTTTGATATGTGATTCTTAGAGCTTGAACTAGTAAAATAAGAGCCATGTCTAGTCTTCTCAATAGGAATAAAGTTTTGATTAATAAGCTCAAGATAAAATATAACTACATGTATATAGTATATAATATTATCTATATATATTTTTAGTACAATTCAAGCATTGGTTCAAACCCCATTAGGAGCAACCCTTGTTTCCATGAGCAAGAAACTTCACTCTCTTAGTACTGGTTGGTTCCAGGAAAACATTTGAGAGTGTTGCAATAAGCTGATAGCTTCCAACACAATCAAACTTTAAAAAAAAATAGTATAAACTCATGCCAGCTATTAGCGAGTTTCCACTTGATTTAAATGACTAACAATTATAGTTTTATTAAATCAGTACCATGTATGTGGAGATCAGATGACTTATTCCCCTTATTGTGAGATACAGCAAGCAAGTTTGAAAATATGAAATAATTTCTAACTTTATGCACAGAAATTTATAACAAGTGACGACCTAAAGGAGTGAAAATTAGCTCCGTTATTTGTTCAAAAGTCTAGACATTTATCTTCTCTTTTTCTCATAATTTGGTGTAGCACAGACTGTTATTTGTTATTTAGTTAAAGTTCACCAATAAGTAAATATAAACGAAATTATATTGTTGAAAACATAATTATTAGTGTAAAATTCAGCAATGTTAACTCAAAAATGTACCTATAAACAACCAAACAAACAAAATACAGTTAGTTACTGAACTCAACAGCACACAAAATAGTTCGCTTTTTTTTGCATAACTAGTTTATCTAAAACTTTACTAAAAAAAATACTAAAAAGATCTTTAGTGAGAAGTAAGTCATATAGTATTAAAAACTTGAGTATAATACAGAGTTTTGATGCACAATGTGCTAAGTTTTTCTTGTTAAATAAATTAGCATCATTTGGCACAATTTTTATAATATATAATCATAATAACCAGTTTTAATGCAAAAAACTATTCAGAATATGCAAGATATCATTTTGAAGGAAAATTTGTTTGTTTTGGGTAATATACCATATATTCACTAAAAAACAAACAAATATACTCTATAATGACCGCTAGTCTTTGTCTAGCGGCTGTTAAGAATTTGATTTATTTATTTATTTATGCAATCTTGGCAGAAACTTCAAAACAAAAGCTGTGGGTGGTTTTACATCTTGGATATGTTTTATTGTTTGACAGATTTCATTTGTGTCAAAACTCCACTGTAAACCCGTCTCAGAAAATGAACGAATTATTTGGATGTGTTTTCAAGCTAGACTGATTCTCACATATGTAACTTGCATGCAGTAGTAATTATCTTCATACTCTCTGAAAACAACTAGAACTTTTTCGTTTTTTTTTCTCACTGTGACAGTCTATTTACTTAGCAGTGGTACTTCTATACATGTCAGCCAAATAATCACCGATTTTCTGAACAAAAACCCTACATGCAACATGTTTACATTTGAAGTATATAATAGTTTAAATATTTCAACGGGAATATATTTTCTCAATAAGGGCTATGCAAAGACAGTCACTGCAGCTGATATGACAAAAAAATACCGTATAGACCTATGTGTTATTAAAATTAAACTGTTTAAAGAAAAAAGTTAAGGACAAAAGAATAATTATCAATTAAAACTATGTCTGAAACATGGCCTGTAAACTCTTTTAGAGATGAAAGGGGGGAAGGGGAAAAATTACAGCCAAAGATCCTCTAAACAACTGAAAGATGTCAAAAATAGTGGCTTTATCTTATATTGGCTATACATTGAAATTCCACTTTCAAATGATAAAATTATAATTATTTATACAAACAGTAAAGTAAAGGATTGTCGTAACATGAGAATCTACTTTAGTTGTTTTAAATGGAACCAATTTTAATCATAAAATTGCATGTCGAGAAAACAGCTGGCTGCTTAAATGTTAACTGCTTTTGAATTTTATCCATTTTCCTTGGAATAAAACAAAAACAGAGTTCCTGTCAAACAACTTGGTACCAGACAATACACAGAGGTTCTATTCATCTTGTCTGGTACCAAGCTCTTGGTTACGGCAATATTTGTAATCACTTTCAGCTGAGACTTTGTTAACCATACCACAAGCTGGTAAATGCCAATGTATTTAACACAAATATTCATATTTAAAACCATTAGAGAAGGGTCTCTTGCGGTCACTTTAGGAGAATTTGGAAATTACTGGTTTGTTATCCAGAAAAGGTGGTTAAGTGGATCAATCGACATGATTTGACCAAGACTTTAGTAACAATTTCTCAAAAACAGAAAAGAAAAACAGAAGGGACATCAAAAATAACAGACATGATAATAAGCTAAGCTTAATAGGAGTCTGTGCATCCAGCTCCATCTCTTCGATCAGACTCTACACTTTCTACACTTTTAGCTGCTGTATTATTAACTCTTAAACTTCTAAATGTCTTAAATACACTGGTCCATCTTTCAATCTCGACAAAACAATTCATCATTTTTTGGTGGAAATTTTTAAAATACTGGTTTAAGGGGCAGATTCAGTTCCCACCAGAAAAGATTGAAATCTATGAATCTATCTTCTAATGGACACTTTGATAACAGTTTAGCACTGTAAGGGTTAAAATAGGAATCAAACACATCAAAATAATGGCATAAGTCTGTAATCATTGCTTTAAAAATATGCCCTCCATCAAGATAAATGAGTTGATTGTCAGCTATATAAACCATATCATCAACTTTGTGTGTGGTATTTTATCCCATTCACTCCAATATCTCATCTTTATATTTCAAGAAAGACAAATGTTTAAACAAGCCTAATGGCTGATCAGTTTCATTCCTGAAAGACTGAAAGAAAAACAAAGAAATACAAACACGATTTGGCACATGTCACAAACATTGCCCTCTTCAACCAGGCAATTTGAGAAAGACTGTGAAAATATGATGTTGACACAGTGGGTTAGCAGATGTATACAAAAGTAAATTTCCTGGATGGATATAGCCTCCTCTATCAACAACCTTTAATAGTTAGCAAACAAATTTGATGAAAATCTAATATTAACACTCCTATTTTTTATTTGCTTTCTATGCATATTAACCTTACATTTTTTTTTTCTCAATTTTGTTTAAAATCTATAAGAATACCCATCAATTCACGTTTCTACAATCTGTAAGAGTTGCTCCCCTTATACTGTAGTGCTTGTTAACATGCTATATAGATGCATAAAGTGTGGCAATGGCATTTAACCAAGTTTTCCCCGAAAGTGAGAAACAACCTTTCTGAATAATAGTCATGAATGACTCAATGAAACATTATTCTTTGAAATATAAATGCCAGAAATAAATGCTTAAGAAAAAGGGAGAATTTGTACTAAGAGGCAAGTGCGTATATTTTTTCACATCTTTCCGTTATATAAACACTAGTCTATCTATAAACACACTAGGTATACAGAATGTAGATAATAAGCCTCGTTTTCACTCACTGACACCTGTCTATCATTTCAAGTGTCATAAATTCTCCTCTCATTGATTTATATCATACAGCACCTTACTGCATTATAGCGTATGATTCTATAATTGATTAATTAATTAATAACAAGTCTCGCAACCAATTATAATCCCTCTTTACCTACAGCAGGTAGAGATTTTGGCAAAGATTGCGTAAAAATAATCCGCATACCGGAACACCGATCGAAACTAGAGATTTTAATTATTTCCAAAGTGATACCTTTTAAAACGTCTTTGGCTAAAAAAACGCAATTGAAACTTGAAATATTAATGACTTAAGAGGCGTTGTTAAAGAAAAAAGGTACACTGTGAATAATTATATGAAATTGTAATTTTGATGTTGTCATGGTAATTTTACTATGTAAACACTTTGAATGGGCAATAAGTAAACACTCCGGCCAGCCTACCTATACAAGTAGTCTGACCAGGCTAAATACTGCTGACCAATCAAATTTTTAGTAATGAGGTATCAAAAACCTCCTCTTTAATTAAAGTGGGGCAAATCAATTATACAAATTTTGGTTGGTAAATTAATTTAATTAGATATATTATTTCAGTTAAAAAGGTCAGAGGACTATAATCAACATCATCATTAGCTTATCAAAATTCCTTCTACGGGAACACTTATCTATGAATGTAGCGTAAACGGTGGATAAGCTTCTGAATTGAATTTTGTTACTATGGTCAGAATATTTCAGTACAGACTATTTGTCTTACATTAACATACAACAGTCTCTGCAGGGACTATGTATAGGTTAGTGTTTATTAGTAAGCATTTACAAAATTGAATTGGTTAAGAATGGCAATTTAATTTAGTAAATGCTAAGTTATGAACACTATGTATAGGTTAAACTTTATTAGTACGTATTAACAAAATTAAATTGGTCAGGCGCAAATTTTAACCGGCTTAGTGTTTTAAATTATTTTTACAAACAGCAGATTTACTAGACTGATTAACAGTTAGCCGATTTACGAAAGTAAATGTGTTATGATTCATTTTCAAATACTGCAATCTTGTTGGGCAAAATTAAAATTTTAAACACTTAGTCTCGTTAAGAAGTGAGAATTTTTAAATTTTATCAAGAGTATCAATTGCGCATGAAAATGTTAACAAATTTTTCCTTCAGTACCTATGTATACACAATTTACACTTCAAAACACCAGATATATTATATATTCAATCAAAACAAAAATATAAAAAATTTACTATGAAACATCGTTTTGTATAACAGTCAGATATAACATAACCAAATACGGCAACAACACACTAAGTATTTGATATCATGAAATTCTGTTCTACTTTTCTATGCCCTTAATGTTCTTACTATTTTTATTTCTTGTTTTTTTTTTATTATCTTTTTTTATTAAATATAGAATATTATTTAATTTTACCTATGAAATATGGTGC